TTAGGGCCTCAAAAACATCTGGCTGGCAGGCTTTCCTCTCTTGGATTTAAAAAGCCCCCTGTTGAATTTAGTATTGACCAGCAGAATGCAAGTGCCGATCCTTAGACCCCCCCTAAATGTCGCGCACTCAGCACATCTCCATGCGGGAAGCAAAATGGCTTTCTGGAATTAACGGATAGGGATCTACTGCACCTTCTAGCGTTGATCTCAGGGACATGAACATCCCATGTTCTACTAAGTGGTGGGGGGATGGTGCACAGAGCCCCAACACAGGAATAATTCCAATTTAGCTACTAGCTCACTGCAGGCACTTGAATTAAGGTCCTGGGCCCCATTTCCCCTATTGTAAATGTTGGCGTAAATGAGAAGTTCTTCTGACGGAGGGTCTTCGGAACACTGGGAGTCTGCATAAAGGAGCCCATAGTATTCTCGCAGAACTTAAAACTAACAACCTTCACATCGCCTTCTACTGTTTTTCTTCACATCGCCTTCTACTGTTTTTCAAACGTTGCTGTTGAGTTCATTTAAAACAACTAAGTTACATATCAGCACTTTAAAAATCCCCTGGATTGCCATTTAGAAGTGAAGTGGCTCATTGACAATCTAGCCAACACCTTGAGCTCCCTTACGGAACATGGCAGGGGAACAGCAGCCAAGGCTGAAGCGTAGCTGTGTGGCCACCATTCTTTTAGGTTGTTATAGTCATTTCTGCTACTTTTAAGTCAATGAATACATATCTGATTCTAATTCCATATCAAAATAATTTAATGAAAAGTACAACTGAATTTGTAGTTATAGTCGTCCTTTATGTATGTCTATTAGCTAACTAGGAAAGTACGTCAGTAATGAATTCTCAGGGCCAAGAAGTAGGGGTGCCACTGGCCTAGCAGCTCTCTGACATTCTGTGATTTTAAATCCCTGACAGTTCCAGGCTGACAGGAGGTAAAAGTGACTACAACATTCACTTTCAGTCCATTTTCCTCCAATTGAAGGAGGGAACTACTTTCACAGTGGAGCCTGGATGGACAGACAGACGTTAAACTTCATGTCTTATCAAGAGAAGCAACTAGTCCTCTCAAGGTGAACACCCGAGGCACCCCGGAGCGGATCTTCTTTCTTCAGGAGTCACGTCAGTGCATCTCACAGATGCAAAAGATGAACATTTGCTCAGTGACCCAGAGAAGGGAGTGACAGATTTGCTGAGGTTTGGTTGAGATCTGGTTTTCGCACTATGCCTTTAATAGGAAGAGCTGCTGGCCACAGAGTGCCCTTGCTCAGGACTCAAGCCAAACCAAGCTCATTGCCATCGAGTGGACTCCGACACCTAGAAGAACCTCTTAAAAGGGGGCAAGATTGTATGATATGAGTCCATGATCTCTTTCCGGTCAGGATCCACTCAGCAGCACATCTCTCCCAGGCAGGATGGTCTCTTCGGAGGACTAGTTTCAGGAAAGAATACCAAGGGTTCCCAAACGAAACTCTCAGTCTCCAGGGTCCATGGGCTTTTGCAAAGGATAAAGGATTTGGAGTTGTTTTTGTGGCACTACTAGATGTTTTTTATGCTCGAAAATATTAATATAACAACTAAAATTGATTCTTTTCTTTGAATTGAATCTTTATTCTTGCCCTCTATGATGTACCTTTTCCCAAATTCAATCAAGACTTGTTTTCAGGAGAAAAATAACGAAACAATGTTTCCTCTAGGTGTAGAACAAACTCGACTTCAGCTTTCCATTGGGAACACGGGATAAGAAGAGTGCCTGCGGTGTGGTGGGGTAGGATTACATCATTTATTCATGTCAGCTACTCACAACACTGCCTGGCATAGAGTAATTCCCCATTACATGAGGATAATGATGCGAGGATAATGATGATGGTGACTTATACAAGTTATTTATTCAAGATTGGGCTCTGTAATAATAACAAAAGGGTAAAAAAAATGCATGATAGTCCTAAAACTTGTACTACTGATATTCTATGTGTTGGTCATGTAGACAGTTCACAAATATTCTGGTTCATTATCTCCCATTACATGTTAAGGCTGCATTTCTCTTCCTGTTTTAAAATTAGCTGTGACCCAAGGAAAGTGTTAGGTAGCTAGCTTAGGGACAGGGGGTTGTCCCTCCTGCAAAGGCCCCCATAAAGGAGACTGGAAAGAAATCAGGCAACCATTAGACACCTAGGAAGATCGCAAACTGAGCATGCTTGTATTCAAGCCCCGAAGTCAGGTGGAAGGTACACCTGGCCACCAAACCAGGCCCAGTCTCATGAAATCAATCCAAGTGGGCTTAACTCAGCCAGTGGGGTCAACCATCACCATCAACCACGCATCCCCAGGCAGAGGTTTGAACTATCCTGACTGTGGGAAGGCCTCGCTCTCTCTTAGCCTGCTCCTGTGGCAGCGGCAGGTTGGACATTGGGGGCACACATGCACCACCTGGGCATGACCCCGCAGGGCCTGCTCTGGGCCTACTCAGGGCCCACAGTCTCTCTTGCTGCCACGCTATCTTGCCTTGGCTCACTTGACCACTTGGTCGCTGGGATCCCCCACCTCCCCAATCCCACATGCATGGGTGGTTGTTCATGCCCAGTTGTGAATCACTTTGAGAGCTGGCCCCAAGCGCTTAAGTGGAGAGCAAATATTTTGAGAATGATGTAAAAATGTGCTTGACACAATTGATATATGTATGGATTGTGATAAGAGTTGTATGAGCTCCCAATAAAATGATTTTTTTAAAAACAAACCCAAAACTTGTCATTAATAAAAACCCACTTGGATTACAAAACAGACTTCAGTATAAATTATTTCATTATGCAAAGCAAAGAACCAAGGTATTATTCACTCCAGAAACCTAACAAAGGGGCGGGGCAGCCAGGGTGCAGTATAGCACCCACGAAACACACAAAATTCCTTTAGTTCTTTAATGCTTCCTCATCCCCTCCACTATCATGACCTCAGTTCAACCTTGCAAATTCAGCTAGATTAGAGCATGTG